TAAGCTTGCTGATTAGCAATAATAGTGCTCTGAGCCTGCTGCTGATTGCGCAGTTCCTGAATACGTTGAATGAGCTGATATACCTGATTAACCAGTTCTTCCTGAGTAGGAGCGCATAAGAATAAAAAGAATTCTTAAGGAGCTATCATATTTCATATTATTCAAGGGAATAATACTAAACTATTCCTGAACAAGAGTTATTAAAATATAATAAGCGTACTGCAATATCCGAAGATCTGTAGTATATAAAAGATTTATACTAATAAGAGCAGTATCAAAAATAGAATCTACTGAATACGGAATTATAATTGGATAATCCGTGCAAGTGCTATTTATTTGCTTTTAGAGCTATTCAAGTATGTAACAAATGAATACTTAGATTAATAACTGAAGAGCTATATTTTGGTAGTCTATCTAGTAGTAATGAATATATTCTTATATATTCAGCTCTTCATCGTGGATTGATAGAGTTGATTATTAACTTCTTCGACTGGTTAATAGAGTTAATTGTTAACTTCTTCGACTGTGTAACTATTATAATCCTAATCCTGGTTACATAATCCTGAGCTGTATTCTTTCGTGAGTTAATGCTGAACTCCTAGCGCCGAAGGATTCACTCTGAGTGTTCTTGGTGCTGTGCTGTTTCCTTGTTATAACCTGCATGTTGGGTGAGTTATAACATCAGCATATAAAGAACTTGCTAAAAAACTTATGAAAGATTATTAGGAATAATAACTAATAGAAGGGAGATAATATTATAATCTATCTAGCATACAGATCTCAAAACAGGCTCTGCTAGCAAGAAAGACAGAGAATACAGCTTAAAAGCATAAATGCATCTAAGGGAAAAGTTAGATAATCAAGAGTTAGAACTAAGCAGGAATGGATTATCAGAATCACCAGGAGTACAGCTCACCAAGCTTACTGAATCACTGCAGTAATCCATGAGATACTGCAAAAACAGTAATCCATATTAAAGAGCTGAATATATAAGAATATATTCTTTATTACTAGATAAACTACTAGAATATAGCTTTTTAGTTATTAATCTAAGTATTCATTTATTATACATCTGAATAGCTTCAAAAGCAAATGAATAGCACTTATATAGATTATTTAGTTATAATTCCGTATTCAGTAAATTCTACTTTGATATCGCTCTTATTAGTATAAATTCTTTATATATTTTAAATCTTCGAATATTGCAGTGCGCTTATTATACTTAAGCATTTTCAATATTTTTCTATAATTTCTATAAATTCTTGCTTGCTAGATAATCTTTTTATTTAATAAAATATTCTTGCATATTATTTATACTTTTATATTTAAGAATCTTTTTAATCTTATATTCTAGTTTATTATTTTCTATTTTTACTATATTATTTATTAATATTTCTTATACTATTAGCTTTAGCAATAAGATATGAAAAACTGAATATATTCTTATTCTATAAGATAATACTAATTTGTAATTAATTAGAAAAATTTATTATAAAATTTTGAATAATTCTAATTTCTTATAATCAAGTTTGTTATTAAGCTTAGTTATTTTAATATTTTTCTGAAGTAAATAGATCTTATTTTCTTTCTATAGAATTAGTTTCTTAATTCTCTTAGAGTTTATATATTATATTATTTATTTCTGAATAAATTGTAATTCTAACTAAAATTCTTTCTAAACTTTCTTAATTTTCTTAATTCTCTTATCTGCAGCTTCAGCATCTATTTCTAGCAATACTTTGTAATAAGTTATTAGATTATATTTATAAAGCATTATAATAAGCGCACTACAATATTCGAAGATCTGTAGTATATAAAAGATTTATACTAATAAGAGCAGTATTAAAATAGAATTTACTGAATACAGAACTGTAACTGAATAATTTGTATAAGTGCTATTTATTCGTTTTTGAAGCTATTCAAGTATATAATAAATGAATACTTAGATTAACAACTAAAGAGCTATATTCTAGTAATTTATCTAATAATAATAAATATATTCTTATATATTCAGCTCTTTATTATAGAATAGCTTAACTATATTCTAATTTCTTATAATTATTTCTTGAATATATTAATTATATTTATAATCAATATAATTGCGCTAGTAATTCTAATTCTAAGTTGCATAGCTCTATTTTTCATTCTATAAGCAAGTACTACAATTCCTGCTCTAAGAGATTCATTCTGAATAGCTCTAGTATTATATTATTTCCTTATTATAATCTATATACTAGATAAATTATAATATTATCTTTCTCTTATAAATTATTATTTCTAATAATCTTTTATAAGTTTTCTTAACTTTTCTTTGTATTATGCATTATACTTTTCTAATTTATTATATTAAGCAGAATTAACAAATCTTATATTTGCAAATCTTCTTATATTCTAAAAAATATCTAAGATTAGAATCTTTTAATCTTCTATTTTTTAAAGAGTTTTATTAAAATATCTATTTATTCTTATTATAAGAAGTATAATCTTGAATTCTGCAAGATATTTTCTAAAAACTCTTTTTATTATATTAAATATATTTATTTGAATTGCTTTAAGTATAATATTATAAATTCTTTTTCTGAAAAGCTTTACAATATTATTATTTAATATTAAAAATTGGAGAATAAGATTAAGAAAAAGAAGATTAAGCTTCTTTATTTGTATTAATAGAAATAAATATAGTTTAAGAAAATAAAATATATTCTGTATTATAATATTACTTATATAGAAGAGTTGGATTATATAGAAGCTAAGAAAGCTGAAGCTAAGCAAGCTTATATTGCTGCTAAGATATAGTTTATAATAGCTAAGAGATTTGCTATTACTAGTATAGATTTCTTTTTAAAGAGATTTAATTAGAATTCTATAAATATAAGAAATAATATAATAAACTAATCTAGCTTTCTAGAAAATAAAGCTTCTAAAGCTTCTAAGTTTTAGTTTGGAATAAAGCGATTATTTTAAATGCTAGTTTTCTTCTTTTAATATTTAGCTATTTTTTCTTAAGTATTTTTAATATTTTTCTATAATTCTTATAAATTCTTGCTTATTAGATAATCTTTCTATTTAATAAAATATTCTTATATATTATTTATACTTCTATATTTAAGAATCTTTTTAATCTTATATTCTAATTTATTATTTTCTATTTCTATTATATTATTTATTAATATTTTCTATATTACTAGCTCTAGTAATAAGATATAGAAAACTGAATATATTCTTATTCTATAAGATAATACTAATTTATAATTAATTAGAGAAATTTATTATAAGATTTTAAATAATTCTAACTTCTTATAATTAAATTTATTATTAAGCTTAATTATTTTAATATTTTTCTGAAATAAATAAGCTTTATCTCTTTTCTATAGAATTAGTTTCTTAATTCTTTTGGAATTTGTATATTATATTATTTATTTCTAAATGAATTATAATTCTAATTAAAATTTCTTCTGAATTTTCTTAATTTTCTTAATTCTTTTATTTGCAGCTTCTATATCTGCTTCTAGCAATGCTTTATAATAAGCTATTAGATTATATCTATAGAATGCAAAAAATAGCAATTTCTTTATTATGCTTATATCTGTACTATTATAAGCAAATTATATAAAAGATAATAAATTAATTTAATTATTCTATTTCTAATTAATATAATATTAAAAATATTATTTAATAAGTTAGTTTATTCTTTTTATTTATTTATCTATTTATAGATAAAATATTATAGATATTCTATAATATATTCTAAGCTGTTTTATAAGTAAAATTCAAAATTTCGAATTAAACTTTCTATCTCTATTAGAAATCATTTTTTCTAGCATGCTATAGTTAGCAATAATTATTCTGAGAAATGTATATACAAGTTCTTCTGCTATATTGCTTTTCTTATAAGAGAGAAAATAAGCATACTTGCTAAATCTGCAAACTACTACTAGAATATTATTATATTGTATTTTAATTAAAGATTCTTATAAGAAAAATAGCTTAATAATAAAATTTAGATTAATAAATTGCTAAATAATTATAAATACTAGTAAGAAATGCAATAGTTTATAAAGCTTATATTTCTTTGTGTTATAACCCATCCAACATGCAGGTCACAGAACAGGTTACGAGTAACAGGAACCAGGTGTTAAGGATTCAACGTTCTGACAAAGTATCGATTATATAACTCAGGGATAGGGTTATTAGCAGATAGATACAGTCAACATCTATCCCGTTGATGAGGGAATCGATAGAGTTAGCATCAATCCTATTTATCCGGACTGAAGAACCAAGTATATAAAGGTTTATATTCCTTACTGTTAGATAGATTTCCTTTAGATAGTTCTTCAGTTGTTAATCTAAGTATTCAGTTTGATATACTGAGTAGCTCTAAAAGCAGTAAATACTTGCATTGCTTATTAGGATTTGTACAGTTCTGTATTTAAGAACTTAATACTTTAATACTGCTCTTATTAGCATAAACTCTTCGTATACTTAGGAATCTTCGGATTGCTGCAGTGCTCATTACATTTTGATAATTCTTGTTCAAAAACGGTTCAGTATTACCCTTTTAAGCAATACGGAATACGATAGCTTCTTCAGGAATCTCTTCGTTCTTGCACGCTCTTACTCAGGAAGAACTAGTTAACTAGGTATACTAGCTTACTTAGCATATTCAGGATCTGTGCGAACAATAGCAGACTCAGAGCGCTATCATTGCTAATTAGCAGGCTTAGCTAGCTTAACAGATTCAGCAGGCGCAGTTCATCTCTGCAATTATCAGTAATACTGAAAAGGTATATAAGATGAACAAGCTTACTATATATAATAGCAATCAGAAGATGCTATATGAGTTTCTTACTTACTGCAGAGCATACTTTTTGTATTATATAATCTAGTTTACTATAGAATCTGAGAAGATTATTCTTATAGAAACTCGCTTTAAGAAGAATGCTCTTATTTAATATAAGCCTTTTCTATGCAACTACTTAGAGTACTAGAATAATTCCAATATGCATATTCAGAGTACTAAGAATATGTTTAATTCTTTTGAAAGCTTTGAGAAAGCTCTTAAGAAAACCTTTGATAATTCCAACGAAGAATACACTATAGCTCAGCAGCTTATAAATCTCAAGCAGATCAAATCAGCTTCTGCTTATATAATTAGATTCAAGCAACTTTCAGCAAAACTTCTGTAAGAAGATAAGAATCTTATAGAATATTATTATAAGAGATTCAAGAATGATGTTAAAGATAAAATCTCTAAGTAGAATTAGCTAGAGAACTTTGCAATATTCTTCAATCAAGCTATCTGCATTAATAACTGTTTGTATGAATAATGAATAGAGAAGTTCAAGAAGAAAGAAAGCTAGATTTAAAGATTTTCAGCTAATATAAGCAAGAAACTCCAAAATAAGAATAGCGAATAGTATAGCAATACAGCTTAAAGCAGTACTATATATACTGATTTCATAGAGCTCAATACTGCTAGCAAGCAGTATAGCAAGAGGAATAGCATTACTTGCTATAATTATAATAAACAAGAATATATTGCATATAATTGCTATCAATTCTGAAAGAATAAATAGCAATTAGTTCAGGAAGAATGCTAGATGAATATTGCTTGATAATAGGAATTTAATCAACTGAGCAAAAATACTCTCTTGAAGCAAGTATTGAACTCTATTGATTACAGAAATCTCAGCTGAATATTCTGCTATAATAATAACTGCTTAATATATCTCTTGAGTAAGAAAGGTTCAGAATAGTTCTCTTAGAAGCTTCAGCGCTGCAGGCAGATAGCAATAGCAGGGCGAGAGTATATGCTTAGTATAACTATGAGCAGCAATGATTCGAACTGCTCTGATGTTACTGAATGAAGCATTTAAGCGCTGGAGGAAGAGCTTAATAATAATGCTCTTCGCTATTTCCTATTATCTATACCAGATACTATAATCAGAGAAATGAACAAAGAATAATACTCTCTTAGTTATTAGTATAAGTATCTAAACAATACTGAAAATGCTTTTCAGGCAACAGAAAGATTAAGCTAGAACGAATAATCTAACAATTTACTGAAATCTCTTGTAAATAATAAACTCAAGAAACTTACAAAAAGGTTTCCCTTTGATATTGAGTGGAATAAGGAAATAATATGAGTTGAATATCTCGTCTATAGAATAGAACTAGAGAAGCTTTTCACTTGCATCTCCTTGTAGAATATTGAAGCATAAGAAGATAAGAACTCTTGAATCAACTCACTTTACAACCTATATTACGAATTAGCTTGAATCTCCTGCACTTATTACAGCTGCAGAATGCATTTCTCAAACAAGATACAATACGAATAGTTCCTCATTAGAGAATCAGAACAAATCCTTCAGACTATTGAAGAACAGGAACTCTGCTTCAGAGAGATTTTCAATAAGCAATACTATAATACATACATCAAGCTACTAGATAATTGCTCTATGCAATGCATAGATAAAAAGATAGAATAATAGCAATGCAAAACAACATTCTGCACAATTCACATTAATAATAAGATTTGCAACTAGCATTAATAGAAGAAAGATCAGGAATAATGATAATACAGGCAAAAGCAAGCTAAGAAGCTTGCTTGAGAAGCAGCGAAGCAAGCTTAGAAGAACAAACAGTTCTTGATAAATCCAAAAGAATAGGATTATCTGTAAAGGAACTGTAGATGATTAGACTGGAATAGTTCTTATATAGAGCTTTCAAGATGAATTATACTTATATTAAGTTTGATATATACATTTAAGAATATAAATATAGCGTACTATTGAATAGTAGCGCTTAGAGAAACTTTATATCTCTATACATTATTAATTAGATATAACTATAATGGAAATGAAAGAAGCATTCTTATATCTTCAGTACTGTAAAAGAACAATCTGTTGCATACAATCAAGGAGTAATCAATAAGAAAACTGATTATCTATCTGTTTTAATTCAGAGATATGCAATTCAGATTTCTTTTAATATTACAAATATAGTATAGCATAAGCTGATTATAGAACTTTCATAGCTCAAGAAGTATAATTCTTGAATCGATTGGATTACTAGCTAGCTCTTATAAGAACAAGCTATATCTAGAGAAATAGTTATAATTAATAGCGCAGGATTGAAGCTAGTAATTAAAGAATACTTAGAAAAAGAAGCTTTATACAACTTCCTACATATTTTTAAATCAGTAGAGCTAGCAGTTCAAGGAGAAAGATCTAGTAACAAGCGAACTCAAACAGTGCTAGAGCGCTAACAGGTTAGCAGAATAACGGAAGCGAGGCTTTCAGCAAGTCGGTTCGCTCCGGAGCGATAAGGAAAAGCTTCAGAATATAGATTGTGGAATTATACAGAAAAAACCTCGAAACCAGGCTCTTGAGCGCTCAGTTCAGCTCGGAGCGAATGCTTAAAGCTCTCAAAAACATTATCAAAAACAACGAATGAAAAGAAGCATGCTTAACAGTATCTATTATTCTTCTAGATAGCAGAAACAGTATAAGAATCAGAATTAATACTTGTAAACATACTACGAGAATATCATAAGTTCAAGAAACTATTTCAGGAAGAATTGAATACAGGATTGCTAGAATATAGCTTATATAATCACGAAATCCTGCTATAAAAAGGGAAACAGCTCAAATTCTTTCTTATTTACAAACTAGATAAAGTATAGCTAGAGGCACTTAGAGAGTATCTTAACGAAAACCTTAAGAAAGGATATATATAATCATTGCAATTATCAGCAGAATACCTTATTCTGTTTATACCTAAGAAAAACAGCAAGCTCAAGCTATATATTGATTATAAGCAACTCAACAACATTACGATTAAGAACTAATACTCATTGCTACTTATCAAGGAATTACAAGATAGATTGCAAGGAGTATAATGGTTTACAGCTCTAAACCTAAAAGGAGCTTATAATCTAATCAGAATAAAGAAAGAAGAAGAATGGAAAACTGCTTTCAGAATATGCTACGAATATTACAAATATTTGATTATGCTCTTTAGCTTAACGAATGCCTCAGCTTTATTCCAAGAAATAATCAATCATATTCTATGCAAGCATCTAGATTAGTTCATCATTGCCTATCTTAATAATATTCTTATTTACTTTCGAATATTGAAAGAATACAAGAAATACATGGAAATAGTATTGCAAATGCTCCAAGATGCAAAACTTCTTGTAGAACCTGCAAAAAGCCACTTTTACATACAAAAAGTCGATTACCTCGGATTCATAATTAAGCTGAAATGCATTAAGCTATAGAAGAATAAGGTAAAAGCTATTAGAAACTAGCCAATCCTCAGGAATATTAGGGATATTAGATCTTTTCTTGAATATATCAACTTCTACAAGCAGTTCATTAAGAACTACAGCTGAATTATATATTTTCTTACAAATCTTACCAAAAAGAATTAATCCTTTAAATAAACTTCCAAAGCATAAGAAGCTTTTAATAAGATTATTAAGCATATCATCTCAGAGCTAGTTCTATATAAAGCAGACTTTTACAAATCCTTTGAAATTAAGATCAATGCATCAGGATATACACTCGAAGAATAACTTGATTAGCAAGATAATTAAAAACATTTGAGAATTATAAGCAACTTCTCGAAAAAGTTGAATAGCTCAGAAATCAACTACAGAATCCCTGATTAGAAACTCATAGCAATAGTGAAAGCTTTTGAGAAATAACAATACTATCTTATCAGCATACAATATTCAATTATAGTTCACTCGGATTATAAGAATCTAACTATATTCATAACAACTAAAGTTTTGAATAAGTAATAAGTTAGATGGGCAGAATTTCTCTTACAATTCGATTTCAAGATTGTACACTACAAAGGCTCAGAAAACGGATAAGCAGACGCTCTCAGCAGAAGATCAGACTATTAAGATATAGATTCCTCGGATATACAGAACATCTTCGCTCAGAATAAATCAGAAAACCTTGTTAATGCATACAGAGAACTAAATGCTATCTTCAGGATTGGATCCTTGAAGAAGGATTCAGAATCGATGATTCCAGATGAATAAGATAACTATATTAAGAATATATATAATATGCTTGTATACGGATATTAGAGAGTTAGAGCAATCTACAAATACATTAAAAGATACTAGAACTCATTAGATCTTAGAAAAAGAATTAAAAGCATTCTATAATAATGCAATAGCTGCAAAAAGAATAAAGCAGAAAGATATAAGCCTTATGAACTACTGCATTTCTTACTAATACTTATAACTATTTAGCAATTCATCAGTCTAAACTTTATTATTAAGCTATTTCTCTTACAAGAACTCTTAACTAAGATGTAATATAATAGCATTCTAATAGTAATTTGCAAATTAAGCAAGTATGCTTATTTTCTTTTTTACAAGAAAAGTAATATAGCAGAGAAACTCATATATATATTTCTTAGAATGATTATTGCTAATCACAGTATGCTAAAGAAAGTAATCTCTAATAGAGATAGAAAGTTCAACTTAAAGTTTTGAATTTTGCTTATAAAATAGCTTGAAATATACTATAGAATATTTATAGCATTTCACTTGCAAACAAATAAATAAATAGAAAAAATAAATCAGATTATTAAACAATATCTTCAATACTATATTAATCAGGAATAGAATAACTGAATTAATCTATTATCTCTTGCATAGTTCGCTTATAATAGCGCAAATACAAGTATAATAAAGAAATTACTATTCTTCATATTCTATAGATACAATCCAACAGCTTATTACAAAGCATTGCAAGAAGCAGATGCAGAAGCTGCGAATAAAAGAATTAAGAAGATTAAGAAAATTCAGAAGAAACTCCGATCAGAATTACAATTTATTCAAGAACGAATAATGCAGTATGCAAACTTCAAAAGAATTGAGAAACTAATTCTACAGAAGGGAAATAAGATCTATCTATTTTGAAAAAACATCAAAACAACTAAATCCAGCAACAAGCTTAATCATAAGAAGTTAGAACTATTCAAAATCTTGCAACAAATCTCTCCAGTTAACTACAAGTTAGTATTATCTTATAGGATAAGAATATACTCAGTTTTTTACATTTTATTACTAGAATCAGCAGTATAGAAAATATTAATAGATAATATAGCAGAAGTGGAAAATAATGAATCAGAGTATAAAGTAGAAAAGATTCTCAAGCAT